CGTTTCTGCTCTTTTGTCTCTGATGATGGATTCGAGTAGGAATCCGAAACGTCAGGCTAATAAAGCTCTTGTCCCGGCGATCGTGTCTCCTTCTTCAAGACTACTTCCTGGGACTCGGCTCTTCGCTTCTATTGGCAAAGTTCATGAGGCTTAAACTGGTATGTTGGAGCCGTGGATTGAGGTACTTCCCATAGAATGGAGAATCAACAGGAAACAGTCCCTTCGCCCAACGACTCGCCGAAACTGGTTTTTCGGACGGTCGATTGATGATGGTCTGAAACTTCGGTCGAATTTGCCGACGGTCAATGACGTCGATAGAAAGAAATCTCTGTTCAGCCGTAACAGAACCCACAAAATTGCTGGCAGAACACTTGATAAACTTGTACTTCCTTACAACTTTTAGTGTAAATCGCTTTTCGGTTGTGCAGCTATAGTTTGAGCAGGTCGAAAATAATTCATTCGTTGCCAATTGAGAAGACGTCAGACCCATCGAGTAGTGTGCACTCTAAAGAACAACCGAGGCGTCCAGCTTTTTAACTAAATTACTTTCGTCAGCTTCCTCTACTGAATCTGAAGAATGTAAACAAGAATCTAGGCTCTGGAAGACTTGACAGAACGAATATAGCAGTCACCCCTCCATCGACGCATTCAAGACCTTCAGTCTAGTCAAGATACATCGGTGTGCTCATAGAAAGTTTGATTTTTGGCGCCGGAAATTGGCTAATCGTACCTGTGGAGTGGATTCGTCACAGGGACTTTGAAACTTCTAAGCCAGCTTGTTACTTTTGGTGAAAAGTGGGCCTACGTTGCTGCCAGTGGCGTATGTTCTTGGATGCAGCCGAAAAACTTTAAACTTCCGTTTTCCTTCCCGATTAGTCAAGTGTTAGTTCTTGGATGAATTGAAGGCCTAAGATTAAAAGACAAATGTGATCAGTCCAACATGGGCTGATAGAAGCCTACGTCGACTTCAAAACTTTACAGACGCTGCCAACCCACTCTTAGTTTTCGCTGCGGGTCATGAGAGCGATAGGGTGGACTTCACTCCAATGTACATGAGCCTCTTTCCAAAACAGTTTTTGTTAAACATCGAGGGAAATTTTGAATCCGGGGATCATTCGAGGCCTTACAATCCTCTATCAGGACTTCACGTGCACAGTGAGTGACCGATCTCATGAAATGTTGGCCGAAATTCTGAAATGCGTTTTTGAATAGGAAGCCTTTCTGAGGCGGGGTTGCAATATTGATCATCTTGCGGCATACTCTTATAAGATTTCGGACACGGCAGGATTTCGCCTTTGAATGCACTTTTTCTCAATCTCCTGTAGAAAGCTCAGTCGATAAAAATGGCTACTTAAGTAGCATACATTTTTCAATTTGATTTTCGAAGGTCTTATAATTCCAAATATATTTTGTAAAAAACATGAACAAAATTGTGCATTCTTTCGCTGGTTTGATAGAAAATCACGTCAACTTCATATTTTATATTAGAAGAAGGAGTAAAATTAGGTTTTAAATAGTTTCTCCTGTCTAAGATTTTGTCCTATCGGCTAGAATAATTCCAATTCCCGATCGAAAGTAGACGCGAGTGACCTTGTGGCACATGCGTCCAATCAGTGAAGTCAGTCGTCACAAGACTGTAATCAAGGATGCACAGATGAACCAAAATCTCCCCGAAATTAGCGGCTGTAGACAACAACTTGAAATCAGACCAATACGTTCCTATAAAATAAGTAACCTATCAGAACGCTTGATTCTTTCATAAGAGAAGAAAGTCACCAGGCCAAGGGTACTTTTTGCGATCGTGTCGGCGCCAGAGGTTAAGATCTGGTCACCTTCGAAAGGAGGTGAGGAAGAATACGTAGTGCCACCGGGGAATGATATGGGCTTTGGGCAGGTGTGAGTGGAGGCATAGGAGAGGCAATGGGAAAGCGACAGCTGGGTGGGACAGAGAATAAGTGTCTAAATAGGTAGTTCACGTTGATGTTTCTGGGCCACCGTTGACCAAGGAAAATCGAAAGCCTGGACAGATGGTTCTCGCATTCATAACCCTGGATTCTGCAACCCGGGGACATTCACTTCCGCTGCCGTCGTTATAATATACTGCATAGCTTCTTTAGTTGGCAGCTCTCTATCCGTCAGTCACATTAGGAGTTTGCTTTGCTGATATCGAAAAAATTTCTGTGAATCTACTGGAGGCGGTCGTTGGCTCGCTGCTTCCCTAACCCGGCAGGTGATTTTTGACAGATTCTTTTGCGCATACAGCGGGTGGCCCATCTTACGTATCCCGCTCTACAGGAGAATGTGAGATGTGAGTGGTTCTATAAATACGTACGCAAATATAGAAGCAACTGAAAGCACGTGTCCAGCAAACAACATGTCGGGTCAACAATCACCATTTATGTACGAATACTCAAACATAAACAAATTTCTATGGGGCGTGAGCAAAATGTTCTCAACTGCTGGTTTGATGACAACTTGTATAAACTTTGAAACTAGCTTTCTACCTAGCTGTGTCCCAACACCACTTCAGACCGTTTCTCATAACCAGGGGGAATAGGAGAAAGAAGATACCAGTCATATGTCGCTTTGTCAATTAGTTGAAATAATATCTGTGGTACATTTATGACGGTTTCCTCTATGCTGCACTAAACTATGGCGAGAGAACCACATAACGAATATGTCACCTGACGGTCAGCCTAATTTGAAGAAGAAGAAGAAGAAGAGTCGAGCACCGGAACAATTCGTTTATTATCCTGAGCTTTCAGACTCGTACAGGAGTCCATCGTCAGAGGTAGTGGCAGAAACAGGACAAGCGGCAGTTATAAGGCACGTAGACCCAATCATCGACCGACGTCGCACGACTGAAGGTGACTACGAAGGGCTCTGTACGCCGGCGCCAGATCGATAAATCGATTGACCGAGTTCTCATCCGAGGCCCAGGCTTCAATCAATTCTCGGCCTGTTTTGTTTCCGGCGTGGGCAACTATTTTGGTGGCTGCGAAGTCAAACTCGTGACCCATTTCGTAGGTGTGGGCGGCCACTTGTGATAATGCGTCGCCTCGCCGCACAGCCAGCTTATGTTCATGTATGCGCGATCCGAGCATGCGTCCAGTCTGTCCTGTGTAATTACAAGGACAATTTTGACACGGAATGCGATACACTACTCCAGATTGCTCTTCAGGTTTTAACCGGTCTTTGATCTTCATGACCCTGTTGCGCATGGTGGCTTTGGGGCGGTGTGCGATTCCAACTCCGCAGCAATGCGCTCGGTCGCTTCTGAAACACCCTTGATGTATGGCAGAGAATGCCATATCGTCGGTGGCGTTGATGTTTGAGTTCTCTGGTGGCGACCGCGTAGGCAGCGACTTATGAATGCCCTCGGATAGCCATTTTGCACGAACTGGTCGCGGAGATAACGGGCCTCACGTGCTCTATCTTCCAGTTTGCTGCAATGAGTTTGGATCCGTTTGAAGAGCGTCTTCACACAGCTTCGTTTGTGAGCCACCGGATGGTTGCTGTGAAAACTGAGAAGCTGTGTGGTGTTCGTTGCCTTCCTATAAACCGTCGTTTCAAGTTCACCGTTAAGGTTTCGTCTGACGAGCACATCCAGGAAGGGCAACTGCTGCTCCTGTTCTTCTTCTCTCGTGAATTTTATATCCGGGAAGACTGCGTTGAGCAGGCTGTGAAAATGTTGCAGCATGTCCTTCTTTACGATGACGAACGTGTCGTCAACGTAACGTCGCCAAAACACCGGTTCATGTTGGAGGAAGGCAATCTTTTCCAACTCCTGTAGGACCAGTTGTGCCACCAAACCGGAGACCGGTGAGCCCATTGGGGTTCCCTTGATTTGTTCATAGGTCTCTCCCGCAAAAGTGAAGAAGGTTTGTTGGCAGAATTCAAACAGCCTCATGAGGTGTTCAATTTTGAGGGCATTCTGAGTCTCATCGTACGCCTCTTCAAGTCTCTTGCGCAAGACTTCGCGGGCCACGTTTGGTGGGATAGATGTGAATAATGACGTCACATCGAAGGAGACCATGATTTCGTCCGATTGAATTCTCCGACCTCGGAGGTCTATGAGGAATTGAGAGGCTGATCGAACTGAGGTAGTCGAATTGCCTTGGAGGAACTTCAGTTTTGAGTACATCCACTTTGCCAAATTGTAGGTGGGGCTGCCTTTAAGGGCAACGATTGGCCGAAGTGGGACATTTGCTTTATGGATTTTTGGCAGACCATAGAATCGGGCTAGAGCGGTGTCAGTTGCCCTCATTTGGTGCCATTCATTCTCCGTGATCACATTTTTATGTCGGTATTCTCTAAGCAGAGCCCTTCGTAGTCACCTTCAGTCGTGCGACGTCGGTCGATGATTGGGTCTACGTGCCTTATAACTGCCGCTTGTCCTGTTTCTGCCACTACCTCTGACGATGGACTCCTGTACGAGTCTGAAAGCTCAGGATAATAAACGAATTGTTCCGGTGCTCGACTCTTCTTCTTCTTCTTCAAATATGTATACACCTGGAACTCGAAATTTCGCCTTCATCCGGTCAGCCTAATTGTGGGTTACATAGCTCACCTCCGACATTTCGACCACCGGCTTCGCCGATGTCTGTCGTGTACTTCACAGTAGAGTGAGGACAGGGACGGTGGCTAGCGCGTGGATTATTTAATAATGATAGTGCACTTTCGCAGCATCTACCGCACTCCCTCCTCCCCCGCCTGGGCCCGGCGTCAAGACATAGTCAGGAAAACCGGAAGCGGGAGAGGGCGCAGGTGGCTGGCACGGCGAAAGCCCCACCCAGGCGAACCAATCATACTGCCTGGTCCACAACAATCACTTGACCAGGCTTTTAATCAGCAACAACAAAATAACGGATCAGAAAGTGGAAAACGATTGGACAAACATGCACACGACCTTTATACCCAACGAGACCGCAAGCGCATCTACCGACAGGGAGCCAGGTGCCAGAGAACAGCCACCGCTCACCAGACTGCAAGGGCAACGGTTTGCTGAATCGGGGCAAAGCAGACGCTCACAAACCTTAAAGCCCAGAAGAGTGAGGAGCAGCCCTGCAATTAGCCTGAGCCATCACCCTTCAAAGGCCATTCATCGGGGGACACTGCCCATGTATACACACTGGTTTAGTACGGTACATGTAGTCTACGTCGACTTTGATAAAGCATTCGACTGTGTACCACATCAGTGTCTCCTGTACAAATTAAACTGAACAGACAGTAGGGGTAATCCCATGAAGTAGATCCAAAGCTTCCTGATCAGTCTCTCTCAAACTGTTCACATCGCTGACAGACTGTCGGCGGAGGTGGCGATTGAGAGTGGTGTTCCTTAGGGCTCCGTTCTTGGTCCTACCTTGTTCATTATATACATCAACGACTGCGTCAGTGAACTGAATTGTGATGTTGCCATTTTCCCTGATGATGTTAAGCTTTGGGGTGTCATCCAACCTGAATTTGACTAGCAGTCCTTTACCTTGTCAACCAAGCTTCCTCTACCTTCGATGAGGACTGCCTCGCTAAAGTCGTTCGAACGTTTGTACGACCACAGCTAGAGTTCACTATTCAAGCGTGGAATCCCTGGACCTCTAAAGGGCTCAGCATCCTTGAGAATTTTCAGAGGCGGTCGACCAAACTCCTTAGTGAACAGGGTTCAATACCCTATGAAACACGTTTATCCAATCTCGGACATTTCCTCTGAGTTACAGACAGCTAAAAGTCGGCCTAATACAAGCATTAGGCGTAATGCGCGGTCAGGACTGCTGTCTTTTACCTGCTGACTTCTTTGAGTTAGCAACCACAACGAACCTCCGAGGTCATTCACTTAAACTACGTGGGACTGGCGCCAGGCTGGATATGCGAAAGTTCTTCTTTTCAACAGAGTGGTCGAGGCTTGTAATGCTCCGTCGGCAGATATTGTCGTGTCCGCATCCGTCGAGGCTTTTAAGCGAAAGTTGGACCAGTATAACACCAAACATGATAATGTCACATGGCCGATATCGTCTTAGCGTTTCGCTCTACCAGTTTAATATTGTTCTAATATTACTGCCTGTATTTCAGTAACGTTTATTTTTGTTCTATTACCTCAATTTCATTAAACGTGAATGCTGGCATTCAATTCGACTCGCTCAGAAACTGAGATTGCATCAATATTCTACAGCACAATTATGCATATGCTGACTATTGTACAGCACACCTAGTAAGGTTAATGTTTTTAACACTTGGAACAACTCGTTCATCTGAACGGTTTCGAGAAAATTCTGTAGTTGATTGATGTTTCCATTTTCAACTTTTTGATGTACTTCGTCTCCTTGTAAGAAACAGGCAGTTCAAAGATTCAACACCTTCTTTTCCCTCAAAGAAACCAGTCTGGACTGAACTGATCACACTCCTCACGTGCGTGAGAGGTCACGTTAGGAAGGAGTCGCTGCGACCCGACTCTCAACCCACTAGTCCGCCGCTTCACACAAACACACACTGGACTGACTGTGATGTCCGAGTTAACCCATGTGTTGAAAACCTTCCATGCCACGGCTTTTAGCGCACCACAACATATTTAAGCATGTCAGATTGCTTATTGTGAGGGAAATGCGCTGGAGCCTTGACCTCGCTCTCTAGTTCCATTCCCAGGCAGTCACTGTCCTAGCCGACCATTCGTCTCATGAGGGGAATAGAAACAGTGGCTGACATAGCTAATGACCTTGTCTGTGCATGCCACGTAAACGATCTGACCCCCCCACTGAATGAACCGGGATTTCATAAAAAAGAGGATGGGCAACATGGATTTACAGGCATTAGAGTGCTAGGGGTCACGTTACGAAGGAGCCATTGCAGCTTGAATTTCAACCCACCAGTCTGTCACTCCACACAAACACACGCTGGGCTGATTTCGAAGTCCGAATTCCATCGGCACTTGGCAACATTTCAAGCCACGACACTCAGCATATAGTAGGTGGGCTAACTGAAGAAATGTCAGCCGAAATTTCGAAATGCGTTCTCGTTTCGAAAAGATTAATTAAGTAGGATTGTACAACTAATCATCATGCAGCATAATTCTATAATAATCCAGTTACCTCAGGGTATAGGCTCTCCGACTGCATGCATGAACGATACTCTGAAAGAAATGACTACTTAAGTAGCATTTGATTGCCTCCTTGATCTTCGATGTCCTTAAAAATTTAATTATATTTCAGGGAAAGCATAGATAAAAATATTAATTATTTTGCTCATTCGGTAGAACATGGTGTCTTTTTCCAATTTTATACTCAAAGGAAGGGTAGAACCCGGTTTTAAAAAAGTTTCCAATTGTGCGATTTTTTAAACCGTGAAATGGCCATTCATAAAGCGTCATGTCACTGTATTTACTAATGTGGCTTGCTAAGTTAACAATTTGGCTCAAATCCACTGCTAAATTTTATGAATCCCATATAGTCGTCTCTTAATGCCGCAGAAAAATTTATGGTTTTCCATACGCAGAAAATATACGACTTATAGTGTGGAAACCCTGAATACAAGTGTAACGGTCCAAAATTATTAGGGAATTGGAAAGATTTTTTGAAAACCGAATTATACACTTTCTTAGAAGATAACATTGGAAGCAGACGTAATTTTCTACCGAAAGGATGGTAGAATGAATATTTTTAAGCATGTTCTGCATGAAATATAATTGCTTTTTTAGGGGTAGCGAAAATCAATGAAAAAATTGCATGCTACTTAAGTAGTCATTTTTGCAAAGTATAGTTCATTCAGGTAGTTGGAGAGAAGTTCATTTGAAAGCCTATACCCTGAGGCAACTGGATTATTATAGAATTATGCTGGTGGATGACTGGTTATACAACTCTACTTAATTAATCCTTTCGAAACGTATTGTACCTTCGTAGTCTCAGTCATACATCCGGCGGAGGAGCCACATGGAGAAGAAGCCGAGGGATACACTCGGTTTTCGTGGGAGGTGCCAATGACGTGCTGCGTTGTGTGATGCTGGGTGTCGTCATGTGTGGTGTAGGTGTTGGTGAGGAGAGATGTGATGACATGGTATAGCCGGCGGTTTTTTACTGCTGGCTTTCATGGAGACTTATGTGACCGAATAGGTCCATGCGGTGAACAAATGTGCATGGACAGTTTGGACAGTGAAGACGAACGCGGCGTGTGTAAGTTGATGCTCCAGGCTCTGGGAGTGGTGTTGAGAGGGAAGTCATCTGTGAAGAGCAGGTAGTGGACTGTATTCTTGCGAGAAGCGTTTAGGCCTGCATGGGTCGGCTTTTAAGAAGGTACCCGTCGGTCCTGTTGTCGACGCTGATCCCGGGGCGTTCATCACGGTAGGCAGAAAACATGGTGTTGAAGGGGGCTGAGCGAGTACACAGCCCTGGTTTACCCCGCTGCCTATTACAAATGCCTTTGAGACGGTCCTGTTTTCCGTGGCGTGCGCTATCATCCCGTCGTGGAGCTGACGCAGCGGGTGTGTGTGCGTCGCTGAAGACAGCCGAATTTCTGCATGATTTTCTACATTCTATCGCGATTTACTCTGCCGAAGGATTTCGCCAGGTCCACGAAGGTAGTGCACAGGTGGGTCCACACTTCCTGGCATTTCTATTGCAGTTGGCGGGCGGCGAAGATCAGGTCGGTGGTTCCGTAGTGCCGTCGGAATCCACACTGACTTTTCGAGAGAAGTCTGCGCTCGAGGTGACTGCTAAGACGGTTAATGAGGATGCGAGCGAAGACCTTCCTGGTGGTTATCACAAAGTTGCCAGTTCTTCTTCCGCTGGTATAGATGGAGGAGTGTCGCGCCCACGAATTCCTGAGTAACTTTTCCTCGGTGTAACATTAATGTGATTTGATTCATCAGCGGGAGGCTGCATGCTTGTAACCTTCGGCCAGAATCGCGGCGCTTCCCGCTAGAGAGTTGATGCATGGCGCAGACTGGTCGTGGGAGAGAAGGCGACCGATCCAGGTCAGTGTTGATTTCCAATTAGGGGAACCGGTCGACGGCGGCTGAGATAGTTGATGAGCAGTTGGGGACATTTCTGAAGTGTTTAACCCAGTTTTTCAAAATCTGCGATCTCCCGGTTGGAAAAGTTTTTCCATCGGAGCTGAGAAGCTGCGCGGTTCCCTTGGTTCGGGAGTCGTAGACAGCCTTGAGTGACGCGAAATCCTCAAGTTTGTTGCGGTCAGCATACTCCTGGATTTCCTCGGCTTTATGGATCATCCAGGCGTCCAGTATCTCCCTCAGTTGTTGCTGTATGATACGATGATAGCGGACGA